GGATCTTTGAAAGAAACATATTTTGGCTGCATGGAACTGGATAGGATGAAGAATGATGGTCCGGTGGAGGGCAGTGGGCTTGGATTTGGGAGTCTTGGGTTCAAATCCCTGCTCTGCCACAGACATTCTGTGTGACCTTGGGCAGGTCAGTTAGTTTCACATCTGTAAAGCTGGGATAATGCTACTTCCCTACCTCACCAGGGGTGCTTTGAGGCTCTCAGATACTATTGTAATGGGGGCCATGTAAGAACAGTAGACAGAGAGATGCTAACTGTTGCATGTATTTAACTAGCTTTAATCACTGAGAAAGATTTGTAGGGAGCACAACGTATCATTAATGATACCACTCTGTTATTGTTGTTCGTGATCTCTTTGTTGTTGTTTGAGCCTAGATAGGTAAAATCTGCATCGAAAACTGCATGAAGTTCTGTGGAGTAAACATCACCTACAGGTTGCTGTCTCCCAATGCCAGCTGCTATGCTGTCGGGATACTTCAGGGCCGAGAGGACAAGTATGGAAGCCTCTATGTGAATGACTCCTCTGTGCTACTCAGACCTGAATGCAAAGAAATTCAATACACCATTGTAGCCTCAGACAAGCAGAGTAAGAAGCATGCCAAAACCCAGCTCACTATTACGCTGGAAGGAACAAGTAAGTACTTGAGGTGGAGGGGGGAGAAAGGTTGTGAAATGTCGATATTAACACTGTATTAGGAATTATGGATACTCACTGATATTACTCCTTAAAGTCTGTGACCAAATAAAGGAAGAAACAGGTTTTCTTCCAGACAGGAGGGAAGGCAGCTATCTCCCTGTCTCTAATGTCAATTAAGCATTGTGGAACCAAAACAATGGAAGCCCCATTGACACAATCAACAGGAGGATGGGAAGGCAAAGGATGAGAAGAACAGCAGGAGGTCGTCCTGACTTTGGGGACAAAACAATGAGTTTTAGGAAGCAAAAAGTTATTTTGACATCCATCACTTGGGGGTGGAGGAACGCAAAGGGAACAGCACCCTCTGATTCTGTGAGTGGTGGATCCTCCAACCTGAGGGGCTGGGGATGCTGATAGCTTGTTGTAAGTGAGGAAGCCACTTAGGCAAAAGGCTGTAGCTTTCTTAAATTAAGTTTTAGTCACTAAAAGCATGTGCTTTGTGTTTTATTTGTTACCAGACTTGTCTCTGTTTCTCTTGCTTAGAATCACAAAAATCTATTTTTTTTTAAATAAATTTATGCTTACTTTTCCTATAAGCTAGCTCTGTGCTGTTATACTACAGTAAAGGTGTGCTCCCTCAGTTGATCCAACAGGCTGGTGTGTGTTCTGTCTCTTTGGAGACAGCAGATTTGGTAATTTCTGGGAGTCACAGGGACTCTGCAAAGGGAGACAACTCTGGGGAATTCGGGAACTGGGGTTCACTCATTGTTACCAGCAAGGCAAGGTTTAGACTGGCAGAGTACAGGAGTTTACTGCTGTGGCAGGGAGCTGTCACACAGTTTAAGCTCCAGCAAAGCTCTCTCTTGCTGAGGCAGACAGGTTAACACAGTGGCTTATGGTTCTGGACTCCCTGAGGAGAGTGTCACAACTTGTTATAGCTGGGTTTGTCTCTTTCAGTGTTAATTTTTAGGCAAGTGCCTTGTTAGGGCAGTTCATACACTGGTGAAATTAACAACAGAAATGAGCCTGAGCCACCGAGTTCAGATCAGATCCCAAAGTTTGGGTGTTTGGATTAATGGTTTTGGTTCAGACTCCTCTCTAATTAGCATTTCTAGAGGATATGTGAAGATAGATATTGTGTTAGGTATAAAAGGAGTTTCATCAAATGCAATTCCTTATATTCAGGGGTGAAAGTAACTTAAAGGACTTACTGGTACACCGGAGTCCTGAGCGGGGGTGTGGCCTCAACTGGAAGAGGCGGGGCCTTTCAAGATTTAAAGGCCCTGGGGCTCCAGCTGTGGCAGAGGCAGCTGGGAGCTCAGGGCGAATTAAAGGGCCCGGGCTCTGGCTGCCACGGAGCTCCAGGCCCTTTAAATCACCGCGGGAGCCTGGCTGCCGGAGCTCTGGTGGCACTTTAAAGGGCCTGGGGCTCCCCGCAGCGGCTGGAGCCCTGGGCCCTTTAAATCACCGCCGCGGAAGCCGGTCCAGTCCGGCATGGCATACTGGCTCTTGCCGGTACGCTGTACCGGACCAGACTACTTTCACCTCTGCTTATATTATAAACCATGATTAGCTTTGTAAGAATCTACTTTTTCTGTGTGTTCTATACAGTGTATTTCATATACATATATCCCTCTTCAGTTTTGTCATTCAAAGCACTTCCTTGTCAGACACACTTTTCTCCTTGTTCCTCCTCTAAATACTCATGCAGAACATGAGTTATAAAGATTTCGGCTTGTGCATAGAGTTAACACGTGCTCTGACAAAGGGCAGTAAATTAGCCATTTAGCAGCCTCGTAATATTCAGTGTAGTGGATATGTAGCAATAGACACTGCAGTCCTTCACTCTCCTGGACTGAAGTTTAAAACAACAAAATGTTTGAAAATGCACACCGGAGGCACTGAAGTTATGTTAGATCAGAGGTGGGCAAACTATGGCACTGGGGGCCACATTTGGCCCTTGAGCTCCTGCTGGGAAGTGGGGTCTGAAGCTTTCCCCACTCTGGCGCTCCAGTGGCACATCCCTCCTCTGGCGCCTATGCGTAGGGGCAGCCAAGGGGCTCCGCACACTGCCCCCGCAGCTTCCCTTGGCCGGGAACCGCAGCCAATGGGAGCTGCAGGGGCGGTGCCTGCAGACAGGGCAGCGCCTGCAGACAGGGCAGCGGGCAGATCCGCCTGGCTGCGCCTCCGCGTAGGAGCCGGAGCGGGGACATGCTGCTGTTTCTGGGAGCTGCTTGAGGTAAACACTGCCTGGAGCCTGCCTCCCTGAGCCCCTCCCAGGCCCCAACCCCCTGCCCCAGCCCTGATTTCCCCTCCCGCTGAACCCCTTGGTCCTAGTCCGGAACACTCTCCTGCACCCTCAACCCCTCATCTCCAGCCCCACCCCAGAGCCTGCACCCCTACCACCAATTTTGTGAGCATTCATGGTCTGCCATACAATTTCCATACCCAGATGTGGCCCTCAGGCCAAAAAGTTTGCCCACGCCTGTGTTAGATGCTTCTCATTTTGTTATTCATACTTTAATCATTGTCAGGCTGCTTAAAGACAGGCAAGGGAACATTACAGAAACAGGACTAGAAAGCATGGTAGTACATGTGGTCTATATTAGGGGTAATTTCTCTTCCATTTGTTTCTTTTTCTGTACTTTCCACTTATTTAATTTTGTATGGTAGCCTCAGAACATGTAACCCATGACTCTGCTGCACAAAGATGTCAGTGTGAATTCAAATGGGCTTGTTTATCAACAACAACCATTTGTATTGTATCTATTTTTGCTGGTTTAGTCATTTTACCCAGCCTTTGCCTAGTACTTAAAATGATACCACACTTGGTTCATTGTAGCAAAAGCGTCAGGGTTCAAACTTCACAGAAAGGGGAAGATCTGTGTAAGTAAAACTGTATAACACCTCGCTGGATCACAAGAGCCGATTGGGACTATACCTAACCATTCTACCAAACCATTAAGTACTCTCTACGAGAATTGTCCGTGCAGAACAGTTAACTCCCAGCAGTTGATTGCCCCTATTCCTTTGAGTTATGTAATAACATGACCTCAGAAGTTAAGTTTTGGGGCATGTAGCGGAGCGGCCTCACCCCTGCGGCACCTCCTGCTGGTCTCTTCTGGGAATTACCTCTTCCAGCGTCCTGGAGCGCCCCCTGCAGGCCGGTGATCCACCTGTCCTCTGGCCCCCGTGTCCCTCCCGGACCCCGCTGCCCTTGTATCTGGCGTGCTGCCCCCTGGCAGTACACCCCTCAGTACTAGGGTCTCCCCTCCCCAGGGAACCCCCACCCACTATCCCTACCTCGCCTCAGTGTAAGGCTATTGCCAGTCATCATCTAGCCCCACGCCTGGGGCAGACTGCAGTATCAGCCACTCATCACAGGCAAGGTTGGGTTTGCACCTGCTGCCTTGGCCTACCTCTGGGGTGCCCTCTGCAACCCTCAGTACCCCTTGCTTGGCCTCCTACTAGGCCATAGCCTGGGGCTTTCCAGGCTAGAGCTCCCCAGCCCTGCTCCACTCAGGTACTCTGTCTCTAGCTCACTACAGCCAGGCCCTTCTCTTTCTGAGTGTAGAGAGAGACTGTTGAGCTTTTGGCTCCCAGCCTTTTTATACAGGCCAGCTGAGGCCTGATTGGGGCGTGGCCCAGCTGCGGCTGCTTCCCCAATCAGCCTTGTAGCTTTTCCTTTGCCCCAGCCCTGCTCCCTGGTTGTTTTAAGTCCTTCAGGGCAGGAGCGTGGGACCACCCTGCTACAGGGCAGATTGGGGAAATGGACACAGAGGATCAGTAGTGTTATTCCTCCCGCCAGAGTTTTGTGCTAGTTGCAATCAGAACCTCTCTGTGCCACCTGCTGTTTGCTGGCCAGTGTTGCACCAGCCCAAACACCAAGGTTCATGCCTTCATCAGCTGTTTTTTCTGAATCCATTGTTTGTATTATAATTGGTATGTTAGTGCATCATGCTGCCTTTCTGTAATTCCAAGCATTATGCCCAGCAATCAGAGAGGGCAATGCTACTGCCACCACGCCTTTGATACTACATAGGAAGAAGATACATAGCCTGGGTCCCTTCAGTCTTTATTCTACATTTATTGAGGGATAGGTCCTCAAAGTTAACTGTGGTCTCTCATTTTTAATCTAGAAAAAGGAATTTCTCCTTTTTTGAGCCCAGCTGCCTTGCATGTGTATTCACCTCTATCAATGCATCTAGTGACACTTCACACTCTCTTGCTTCCGTTCCATGCAGTTATTAAGAAAGAAGAGGACTGCCCTGAATCTTGCGCTGTTAATAAGCACCGTGCTGAATGTGAAGAGTGTGGTGGCGTAGGAGTGCTAACAGGAAAATGCCAGTGGAGACAGGGAAGTGGAAAAGGTACACACTTATGCTGTGTAATTGGCCAGATTGTCAGCTAATGTTAAATTGGCACAGCTCCATTGACTACAGTGTAATTGTGCTGATCTGTTCCAGCTGAAGAGCTAGCCCAGGGTATTAAACTACCCAGAACCTATGGTATAAATAATACACAAATTAAACCTGCAGAAGGGAGGAGAGCAGAGTTAAGGGGAAGTCATCATTAATTCAGTCCCTGAGGCCTACCCATCACAGCACCTGCAGGTACCAAATTAGCAATCACTGGGAATGCAGAGAAGAATATGGCCTATGGGATGCAATGTAACCCCTTGCAATCATAAACTGGGTTTGGAACAGCTCAAGTTTTACAAAATCCCACCAGCAGATACTGGCTGGTACAAGAGAGGTCTCAGTTGGAAATCGTTATCCAAAACTTGAGAATGTGTGCTCTGTAACACTTACAACACATTGCTTATGTGACAAATGATGGTATTCTTAAGTATTCCATAGCAAACTTGATGCTTTACTCCTGCCCTTCCATAAGTATCACAATTTCTCTCCAACTATTTGTAAACCTTATGTTCAATCACAGGCTTGTGAAAATACGTTTAAAGAGAGATCATCCATTTTTAAAGGCCAAACTTTGTACTCAGGATGTTTCACCTACCTTTGTTGCAAATAACACCTAAGATCACCATAGCTGAAACTGACAGCGCACAAAGGGCTGTCAAATGCACCAAGTAGATAAACTGAAAACCCAGTGAAAAACACACTCTTTTTTATCGCTTTCAGTTATCATCATCTTGCATGTTAGTTGTAAAAACAGCAGGTAAAGAATTTGTAGACAGAAGTTTGATTATTCTTTTTTTTTTTAAAAAAAACTGACAGTGTCCCCTGTGCCTCAGTGTGTCAACATGCACCAGCAGAGTGCAATGAACTTCTCTTCAAAGCATTGTGGTATTTGGACTGTTGTGTGCTTGTATGTTCATAGGAATCACCACAAATTATTCTACCTGCACCCCAAGCATCAGGACTTGTCCAGATGGCACCTGTGACATTATAGAGAGCAAAGATCCAGCGGTGTGCCCCCAAGATTGCACAAGTATGGAGTGTTTTAAAGTTAATATCAAATATAATATATACTGTAAAATAATAATTGGTATGTTAAAGCTGTGTTTGGTCCAAGTTCTGCTTTCTTGTTTCCAGATCCTTTTTAAAACAGTGCATACATTAAACACACATATCTATATTACAGTGTTATAGCTCCTCAATATATGTTTCACTCTATATGCATCCGAAGAAGTGGGTTGTAGCCCACGAAAGCTTATGCTCTAATAAATTTGTTAGTCTCTAAGGTGCCACAAGTACTCTTGTTCTTTTAGTGTTATAGCTGATGTTTGCGTTGTGCAAAGTTCAGAGTTATGAGCACAGTCTTCCGCCCTTTAGAGTCAATAGCCAAACTCCTATTGAATTCACTCAGAGCAAGATTGGGTTTGTCTACACTGTGCCTTAGCCTGCATCAACTGAGGCGGGGAGCAACTTCTAATGTGCACCCACATGTTGCACACTCACTGGCCCAAGAAACTTTAGTGCACGCCAGCAAGGTCCACATGGGCCAGTGAGTGCGCAACATGCTGGTGCATATTAGAATTTACACCCCAGCTGATGCAGGCTAAATCACAGTGTAGACAAGACTGCGGTAAATCTAATTCTGCCTGTGAACAAAACATAAACTTTAAAGTGGCAGAAATGCTTAAAGTGATCATAGATACTTTACTATCATCTGAAAAAATCTTCACTGGTGATAAGTGGAATCAGCTGTCACTTTACAAGCAGCAAATGATGTGCTCGAGGCTGGCTCCCTAAAATCTGTAATGTTCAACATATGTAGTGGCAGATGGTTTGCTTGACAGAAGGCTGAAAGGAATGGAATCTCATTAGACAATAGAAAGAGGCAAGTAACACAAGCTTTCAAGATGTTATGTACTGTATGCTATCTTGTTAATGCATGAATTGAGAATGTTGTTATGAGTTAGCAGTTCAGGACACAGGGTTCATGCTCACAGCCAATATGTTCACAGATGGAGAAATTAGTGCATTTCAAGAGTTCAGATGTGCTGACAAGAACCATTATCTCAGCTTTTATTGGCAGAAGGCATTTATTTGGCAAAAGCAAACAACGTATAATAAAATCCTGAATGTTGTAATGCCAAGTATGTTGTGTACATAAGACAGCTGCTAAAATATTTATTTTTATCATTCATCTATCATTTTGATGGGTAGGCACTTGGCGCTTAAATCTCCCAAATTATACATACGTGCACACCCATATGCACATATTACATGTGCCACTTGCAATGGGACCCTACAAAAAAGCTAAAACAATTGGTTCCACTGTTGTCACCATCAAGCACAGGCAACCTATTTACGTACTAAATAAGGTCATAGAATCATAGAAGATTAGGGTTGGAAGAGACCTCATCAGGCCATCTAGTCCAACCCCCTGATCAAAGCAGGACCAACACCAACTAAATCATTCCAGCCAGGGCTTTGTCAAGCCAGGCCTTAAAAACCTCTAAGGATGGAGATTCCACCACCTCCCTAGGTAACCCATTCCAGTGCTTCACCACCCTCCAATTATCCAACCTAGACCTCCCGCACTGCAACTTAGACCATTGCTTCAGGTTCTACCATCTGCTACCACTGAGAACAGCCTAGCTCCAGCCTCTTTGGAACCCCCCCCCCCACACACACTTCCAGATAGTTGAAGGCTGCTATCAAATCCTCCCTCACTCTTCTCTTCTGCAGACTAAATAAGCCCAGTTCCCTCAGCCTCTCCTTGTAAGTCATGTGCCCCAGCCCCCTAATCATTTTCATTGCCCTCCGCTGGACTCTCTCCAATTTGTCCACATCCTTTCTGTAGATGCCTCAGTACAGTATGTAATTACTTTAAATATAATAGTAGAGATAATTCTAAACGGTGGTGGGTTTTTTGTCAGGGCTGGCTGTGCCATGTGAACCCCACTAAGAGGTTCTGAAGGATTTTCACTGGACTAATCATTGCAGGTTCAGCTGTGAGATTAGGTTCTACAGAACCTGAACTTCAAAGAAAATCTGTGTGATGGATTCAATCGTGTTTACTTACTTTAGAGTTCAGTGGTAGTGTGAGCATCCAACATTCTCTGCTCCTATCTAAACTGCAGTGTTTGTTTTGTGATCTTCTGGAGCTAGCAGATGGTCACTCCCACATCTTTCAGCTTTGGGGAGGGGTGCTGGGTAACGGCCCCAGTTTATAGGATCTGAAGGCAGGGCAGAAAGTCCCTGCCCTCCATCAGGCAGTGAAAACAGCTGCTGATTGAATGAAAGGATGGGCATAGAGACGTGATATAATCTATAGCACCGTTGGTAATCTGTAGAACAACCGGAGTTTCCCTAGTAACTGTACTCTAGCTAGAATAAGCTCCATTGGACCCAGTGGGGGAAGCCCCATTTATATCCAGAGTGAAAGTGTTTTTTCTCTTGCTGTCCTATGCAAGGAGACACTTCCTCCGCTCTCACAAAGACCTTTTGGAGTAGAAGCAGTTGTACTTATCTGACGTTATCTTCCCCCACCGCCATGAGCTTGCAAGATCGGGGAGCAATCAGTGCTCACCTCTCCAAGACAGAGGAATAATTAGGGGAATTAATTTAGGTCCTGTAGGGGACCAAATGACAGGTCTGGAAACACCTATGTTTTCTGGAACAGGTTCCAGCTCTGATGGGGTTGACCTAGCATAGTCTCCTTAAATCACATGCAGTTTAGCACATGTGGACCCTTGAGGAAAGATCTCTAAGACTGAGGTCCTATATACTCTGCAAGGATGCTGAATTCCCATTGCACTTTCCCCATACAAATTAGAGGATTGCCGTCATGTCATTGGCCAAAACATCCTGTTCCCCAATTTTGGAGCACACTGCTTTACCCACCCGTCCTCCATCACAGAGACAGCTGCATTCCCTTATGGAAAATCCTGGTAGAAAATCATAACCTTTCTAGAGGATTTTTTTATCCTCCCGCAGAATTTAATAAAAAGTTATATCCCTGGTATAGAATTCTATAGGATGGTTTAAAAATATAACTATAGGAATGATCTCATTCTCCATTTTAATATCTGTAATCTCTATAGAACCTGATTAAATTTCTATAGAACACAATTGATTTAATCCTATTAAATCTTAGGGATGTAAGGCACTATGTAGACGAAAAAGATTATTTCTACTGATAGTTTCTGTATGGAAGTGTGTTTTACAGATTTTAATATGATGATTTCAAAAGAGCCTGATTCTGCAGGAACCTTGCCAATTGGAAATCAGGCTAGCTCTGCATATAGGGTGGTTACATACAGTGTGTCCTTATGCTAAATAATAGATTATCTTAGACAATAAAACATTCATTTACAGAGTTTTTAGTGCTTTCATATAGTGCCTCTCGACAGAATATTGCAAAACACTTTGCAAAAGTTGGTATCATCATCTCCTTTTGAAGATGGGGAAACTGAGGTGCAGAGCGGTTAACTGATTTGTCCAAGATCAGAGCAAATGCTTGTCAGAACCAGAAATATAACCCAAGTCTCTTGACCCCCAGTTCCCTGCTGTAACACTAGACTGCTGTCTCCTACATATATAAGGCACACGACAGTCACAGAGCAGTAGTGGGAGAGAAAAATTAAACTAAATAAGAGAAGATTTTCAAGGAAGATTTTGGATACCTGACAAGGCAGAGAGAGGTCAGATGATGAGTTGGGAGTGGGAATCAACATTAAATAATGGATATACATATTCAACATTTAAAGGCCATTTTAAATAAAGGAAGTATCCACACATACAAAGTAAAGACATAATCCAAAATAAACTCTGTGTCCTACACCCACCTTGTCTACCATATGTAAGTCTGTGAACTAGGATCTTCTATAACAGCAATAATTGCTAATCAGACCAGTGAGCCCAGAACTAGTATTCAAGCAGTCTGAGTTCCCTGATCTCTTTACATTAACCCCCGAGAGATCCTTTTTCCATTTTTTTCACCTATCTTCATTTTTACTGCTTAATCTGAGTTGCTTTGTCAAATTTCAAATACTTAGTAGGGTAAGCCCACAAAAACCCATTAGTGGAATGAGCTGTTGAGCTTTGCCTTTTAACTACAGCGTGAGAATCTGAGCTTGTGTTTGTATTTGATTAGATGGAAACATCATTGGTGGTCATGAGAGAGGCGCTCATGGAATTAAATCAGGACATGGGATTTGTTACTGCTTCCCAAGACAAAACTGTTACTGTGAGAAAGATGATATTAAAGGTAAGTCTAAAGATTATTTAGCTGGTTTTACAGTTATCTTGCTCTTGTGATGCTAACCTTTCCGACTGTATACAATATTCCTGTCTTTGATACATAAAACCATCTAAACTCATTTACATGTTGCTGGGTAATGTTCACGTTCATGGCCTGCCAGCGTACAAAGCATTAAGAAGGGAGCTCCTGGATTTGGACATTAACGATTCTCCATGGATTTTGTCCGTGTTCTTGGCATAGTGTTCCCTCCCATCCAGTGTTGCACAATACACTGGTTGGCTGCCCCATAATCCCCAGAGGTGGCTGCATTTCAGTGGAAGTGTAGCATGGACTCGTGGTCTGAAATTTTCAAAGGTGGTTAGGGGATTACTTTCCACTGTACTTGAGTTAAAAATCTCAACTACAGAACTCAGAGATGGAAAAGACAGTTGTGGAAGGTGCTGGAATCACCTTATCCATTCTCCTGGGGGTAGGATTTCTACCTAACTACACCTCTTGCTCTGTTTTCAAAGGAAGGCAGAATGGGAGCACTTGCAAAAGGGGAAGTAGTGATTGTTTTCTAATGAGCCTTCTCCATGAAGGACTTGTGGCATTGGACAATATATTATAAAGTGAAAAGCAAAAAACAAAATGAAAGCAATAATACAACTAAGAACCTCCCCACCACCCCCCTTGTGAAGATAGAGAGGGGTTCCCATGCAGGAAAAGGGGGAAAGGGAGACTTGAGAATACTCATAACATAGTTATACGTGGTCCCGCCTCAGTGCAAGAGGATAGATTAGATGGCCTTTCGAGGTCCCATCCAACTTTACATTTCTATGATAATATACACTTCTGGGGGAAATGTTAGTTGGTAGAGAAGTGGATCTGACATGGATATCAAGGGGATTGTGTGCCTAGGGTCTGCAGTGGTGTTGGCAAGTGAATATATGAAGTTAGATGAAGTCAGTACCTGCACTACTAAGGGCTGTAAAACTCTAACTAAATCTAGTTACAGTTTAACAGGCATTTAGGCATGCAATTACCCACAGAGCTTGGGGAAAATGTAGGATTTTGCAGCTGCACTGGGTATATTTGCAAGTGCAGCACTTCTACCTTTCTTTGAGAATTAGATCCAGGGTTTTAGTGTAGCTTATGAAATGACTGTTATAATGTAAATTTAATTCAAAACCTTTAGTAGATGCTGTTGTGAATGGTAACTAGCTACCAAAGGGTGTGTGTGGAAAGAGATGAGATGGGAAAAAATTGAAAACGAAACCAGCAGAACTGTAATCAATTCCCCCTCTGCCCACAGAGCCGCTGTGTGATGACGTGTGCAAGACCGTGATTGCAGGGGCAGTTCTGCTCTCCTTCATTATCTCAGTGCTGCTCTCTTCTTATTTCATCCACCGTTACCACAAGAATTCTCCAAAACCACCGATTGCCTCAGCGGAGATGACCTTTCGGCGCCCAGCCCAGTCCTACCCCATCAGTTACTCTTCTACAAATGTCCGTCGGCCATCTCTGGACTCTGTGGAGAACCAGGTGCCTGTTGACACCTTTAAAATACCTGTAAGCTTTTATATTTTACGCTTTTAAATTGCGTATTGATTTGACTTGGCTTTTTTGTTTTGTCACGAATTGGGCTTTCTAAGGAAAGTTGAGTGTTGTCTACTGTGGTAGTGCTCCAAACCCCCATTTTGATGTGAGGATGCATTGTGCTGGACAAACATTTAAGGTGAAATTCTGGCCCCATTGACTTCAGCAGGCCTAAAATTTCACTATTAGTAAGAGAGAGGCCTTCCCCCAAAGAGGTTGCAGTCTATGATTCAAATGAAATTAAATAAAAATCACCCACATGGAGGGAATCTCTAATGAATGCATGGTAATTAATCAGATCATAACTTCCTGCACAAGCCAACTGCATTCTCTCTTACTGTTAGTGTCTAAAGAAATGTAATACTCTGGGCACAGTCTAATCCCTTATTTCTTTTGTCATTGACTTCAGTACAGGGTTAGACTAACTGAGGTTAAACTGATTGTCAATGTTTACAGACTATTTGCTGACCAATATCTCTATCGTGAGGATAAATAATAGTAGCATCTAGCCCATAAAACACTCTTTGCTTGTAGATTTCAAATCATTTTTGCAAAGGAGGCCAGTAGCATTATCCTCATTTTACAGGTGGGAAAACTGAGGCACAGAGAGGTGAAGTGACATGCACAAGGTCACACAGGAGGTCATTGGCAGAGTGGGGGAAAGAACTCAAGTCTCTTGACTCTTAGTCCATTGCTATCCACTAGGAAACACTGCCTCCCTTGAATGTAAGGTAACACTATCTAGTGGTTTAAGCACAGACCTGGAAGTGAGAAGACCAGAGCTCTATTCCTGACTCAACTACTGACTTGTAATATTTTCTAGGGCAAGTCACATCATCACTCTACGTCAGTTTCCCCATCTGAGAGACAATGGTAACTTTCTGAAGGATTTCAAATTCTCAATGAAAATTGTCATGTACTGCAAATGGAAAGTATTTAATTATTTATCAAATACGGAGCAGTAGCCTGATATCAGCTTTGCATGGGCTCTTACTGTACCATTCATTTGTATAACATTTCTTGTAGTGCAGTAGTTTGATTGTGAGCTAACTGCCCCGGGGTATGGAACTAAATAATTGTTCTACTGGAACAAACACTTGGATTCAAGTAAACTAGTTCCCTGGAAAGTCTGTGGCTAATAACTTTTGTTCCCTAGTACTGTCATTATTGGCTACTCCCGTTTGCAGCTAGCTGTACAATTTGCACTTTCATTGTAAAAATTATGTCATTGTTTTAGTAATATCTTCCAGCATTCAGTTGGATTGCACGTGCTGCACTATGGAGCTTGAACACAGGACTTTATTTTAGTGCATTGACTAAATTTTAATTTATATGGTAGGATTCTAGTTAAGGGGGGGAATGCTAATATCCTGGCCGTATTTTATTTCATGGGCTAATTGTAGATGGCCAGAAATTATTGTGTAAAAATGCAAATCAATGGGTTAAAAAAATCCCTAAGAAAATTCATCCAACAAACATTACATTAACTGAGGTTAATGGCTCCATAAAATCTGATATCAGCTAATCTCAGATACAGGATTTTTCTTGGACATTGACTTACAGCACCACACTAAAACCCTATTACCTTAATTTCACTTATAAAGCTTAGTTTAGGGTGGATTTATCTGCATACTTTGGAAGGCTTCTCCCCCCCCCCAGCCCTTTAATGCAATTTCTGTTGTTTGATTATACTGTATGTAGGATGCCTGCCAGTTTGCGCATTTTTATTTATTTTCTACCTGGGGCAAATAGGATGGTGTCTGGAAAAGTCCTGTGCAGTGAAACACTGTCCTCTTGTCTGATGCATTTGGATGTTAGATATTGATGCCTTCATAGTAGCTTGTACTCTATTTGCTTTTATTTCTTGGTTGGTTTATACATTTTGTCACTGTTCTGTAACTGTAAGGCTCAATAGCACTTCATAACAGATGGATTGTTGTCTGTGATGAATTCTTAAAGGAAAACCTCCTCCCACAAGTTAAACAGAAATGCAAGATCAAATATGGATACTTTATTTTGAAGGTGAGCATTTATTCAGTCAGTGTTTCATTTGTACAAAAAAATCTCAGGTAGGCCTGTAAACGTCATCCATATTGATAGGCTGCACCTAGTGTCTTTTTATCTAGAGGAAATTTCTAGCTTATTTAAAAATGCTTGCAAAGAGCTTTTAGAGGGTGTTGCAGAAGAAAAAGTCATGGTCTTCTGTCTGATAATGGAACAAAAACAAAAAAATTAATCAGATAACTGAGCATAATGTCTTCCCTGAAATATAATACTGTATTAAACTTTTGTGATTTGAGCTACCAGTCAGGAGCTGGCCCCTTCTATCTCATTTTATCTGATAGGATTCCTTTTTTCTCATACAGGAGGACCCCAAATGGGAATTCCCCCGGAAGAACCTGGTTCTAGGCAAGACACTAGGAGAAGGAGAATTTGGAAAGGTTGTCAAGGCAACAGCGTTCAGACTCAAGGGGAAAGCAGGCTACACCACGGTGGCAGTGAAAATGCTCAAAGGTACATTTCCCTGAAATGATTTGAAAGCTATCTGGGAACCTTTGAATCTATTTCACAAGAGTCTAGTGTACATGCAGGAGGCCATCTGGGGGCAGGCCCTCCCAGCGTCCTGGCAGCATTTCCTCCAGCATTCTATTTATGTACTGACCTATTCCCGTCGAAAGAGAGAGTGCCACATTGATACAAACAGTAATTTCCAAAGGCCCTAGCTTGTGCTGTGCAAGGGCAATGTGAGTTACTGTGGCAAATGTATCTCATTTAAGTCGTCATTAATTGAAGCATCACAAGGGCTTTTTAAAACTCTGCACAGCTTTTTGTATTAATCTATCTCAATTTTTCTTCAAATATTTTTAAGTAGATCATTTGTGCTAGATACAAAGTGTCTAGAGACAGAACAGACCTATGAAGCTATGCATCTACTTCCCTGCCTGTGCCGGATTGATCTGATGTATTTACTTGATAGAGGTGTAGTCTACTGGTTTTGAGCAAGGGGCAGGAAATCCAGGAAGCCTTCAGCTCTTGTAGGCTGGCCATGGTCAATTCACTACATCTCTCTACTTAAATTTCCAATCTGTGTAATAGTGGGTAATAATACTTACCCAGCTGACACAGATATAGAAAAAAGCAAATAGGCAGTTTGTAAAGCACTTTGTATACACGGGGTGAGATTTTGAAAAGCTCTCAGCCTTGCTCTAATTATGCTACCATTAAAGTCCATTTGAAAAACTCTCATTTGAAGTCAGTGGAAGCAAAGCTAGGCCGATGCTGAGCTGACTTTTGAAAACCTCACATGAAAAACCCTATGTAATTGTTAAGAATTATTAATTTAAGACTATTGTTTTATCCAGTTGAGTTTTAAATCAAAGAATCTGAGGCTACAGAGTTGGAAGAAAACTTACACTAGACAAACTCTGGTTGATAAGAAGAGGGCTCCTGTATCTATCTATCTCTACCTATTGTACTTTCTTTCATTAAGGAAACTGATCCATATGTCCTTCTTTTCAAACCCAGCTATACCTATCTTTCTCCTACACGTGCCACCTTAAAAAGGAGAGCAAAGTAATGAAATAATGAGTTGGCACTTTCTGTATACCAGACCAAGTACCACCATATTCCCCCAGTGAAGCCAGTGGTAGGCTTTGGTTTATGCCACATTTCACACCTAATGGCTACATCATCTGGACCATATCATTGAGATGGGAGACCTTGGTCACAGGTCAAAGAAGGCAAATGGAGGCCTTTAGATCACATAAGGCCCCACAGAACCTAGGACTGACCTTGTTGTTTTGACAGAAAGGTAATTTTAACTGCATCGTCCTGAAGGATGATGTAGAAATGGAAAGAACAGAGACAAAATAACCCTGCTTTGTGATAGAATCTGATACTACTTCATAATGGTGTGTGGTCCCTATATACCAAGGAGATAAGCACCCTAGGAATATGAGAGAAGCAACAAAAGTATTCAGAAATGCTTCTGGGTAGAAGAGTTCTTTCTTTTGGTGGGGAGCAAGCATTGGCTGGATGACCTCAGTCGTTAATTGCTGCTGTGAATAAGAAAACACAATTACAATAGGATAATGGGTTTCTTATTAGCATTTTTATTATGTGCAAGCTTAAAAAAAAAAGTCCATCATCCTCTCACGGAGTGCAAGGAAATTGCATGTTATATCAATTTACCGATGAAATAAATGAGTTATGAAATGCATGTCTACATTTATAAAAAAGGCTTCCTTATAACAAGGGTTCAATGGAGATGAAATCAAAGACAGAGCGTGCCGACGGAGCCCTGGAACTTGGTCTTGCAGAGACAGACTAATATAGCTCTACATGTAACACTAAAATAACCTTTTACATGGTATTATAAATGGAATATCCATAATCTTTACAGCGTGCCAACTTTATTTATACATTTACAAGTAGTAGTGACTTTTTACATCGATAATATGTAACTGAGCTAAAATTCCGAAATATGCTGTTAAAAAGTGACATTCTTAATTCCAATGGACTTACCATTTGACTTTCCCGAGCTATTATCTGGAGCAGAATTGATAGCAGCCAAGGGTAACCCTTTATTTTAAGCACCCTCCTCTAATAAATTCATAAGGCATTTATGGTAATAGCAAGAACTCTAATACATTCCTTTTGCAATGCATATTTCTTTCTCAGATAGCTCCCCCAAATGTTCCATGAGAGCTGGATTGTGGAAAACATTTGCCCATTACTTGGGTAAACATTTTTGTGTTGCTATTGTTTTTACTTCGTTGTGAACAAATAGAAATGAAAATAAAACAATAACAAAAAATCACTATCCTGGAATGTTCTCTAAAAAGTTTTATGCTGGCAGACACCCAAGGGATAGTATAACTGAATCAGTACCCATCCCACTGACATCAGCAAAGAAGTCTGGAGAAGTATCTTCTATTGATGTCAATACAAACTCTCTACTCGGCTCCAAGTCTGGAATTCTGGATATGTACTGCAAGATTAACAAGTGTAGAACTGAATTTTATCTTTAATTAAATATTTGGGGGAAAAGAGGGTTGAGGCAAGCCATGGATGTTTCTGTAAGCTTGGTTTGAACAAGGGAGTTCTGGTCAAGAGAAATGCTTGGCTTATGTAGACTCCCAAAGCTCAGACCACCCTAATTGGGTTCATCACATAAATTAACTTTAGGCCTATTGGAGATCTCCTGCTATATCGGGTGCTGAGCCCTCTAAATCTTGTCTACTGTATGTAGTGTGGAAAAGGGATGCAGTAATTGCAATACAGTTACATGGCACAAAAACCTCTGAGTTTGATTCTTCACTGCCTTGCAGCTTATCTAGTCAATTACACCAGTGCAGAGTGGGTATAAAATGCTACCTAGTTAGATGGCAGTGCTGTACTCTCACGTGACTGTAGAGCTGGACAGATAACTGATTTTGTGGTTCACCGGCAGTTCCCAAAAATTGCAAACAAAATTCAGCAAATTGAAAAAAAATGATTTTACATTGAACAAAACATTTTGTCTGACCTGAAACATGCTGTTTCGGATATTTTGAAAAGGCTAGATTTACAAAATGGGAAGGGGGTCATGCCACCCATCTCCTTATAGCTTTAGCCCAGTACTAGAGCACTCACAAGACCCTGGTTCAACAGCCCCCTCTGCCTAATGTGGAGAACTTGGTCCTCCCATATTGCAGGAAAACACATTAGCCATTGGGCTGAGGGATACTCTGGTGTGAGGATCTCTCAGTATCTGCTATTGAACCTACTTCTAGGGGAGTGTGCTAATCACTGGGCTAAAATTTATAAAAATGACGACCTCCAGTTCCTCCTGCAGTTTTGTGAATGACAGCTAAGTCCTGAAAATATATTTTTTTTGGCCAAAACGATTTGTGTCAAATTCCTGAATAGTTTGGGGTCATCCGAAATTGCATTTTTCAGTGAGTAAACCATTAGCTGAAAAATTTCACCCATCTCTACTTGGCAAAGATGTGAATGACTGAACATCAATGAAGAATAAGGCCCTGTCTCTTCTCTGAAAACCGTTACAAAGCTGATAGTACAGCACTTGAAGCTTTTCATCTCCATGCTCATTTCCAGAGCATTCTGAAATTCTTGTTCTTAGATTGTACCTGTTTTATACTACAATGATTAGTCCCCTACAAGTACCTAAAATAAGTCAAAGTCTGCCCCAAGCCACAGATGGCTCATCAGGCTAACGCATGTCAGTTTCCATAGCCAACATGACACAAGGGAGTGATGTGGCTAGCATCATGCTGACCGCCGTTCACAGCCCTAACACTATGGATCAGGTGCCCATTTTGCTACTGATGAATTAGCCTTCAGTATGAGATGGAGTGAGAAGTGAATCCATGACCTCCGGAATTGAAGTTGAGCACTTTAATCACTTGGCCAGCGCATCTCAATACCTTAAATAGGTAGCAGTATGCTAATTTACAGCTTAGTCTATAGGTGGCACATTCCTTTTGCAGTGTTTTATTAACCAGATGTCTGGTTTTGATGCCTTCTATAGAAAACGCTTCCCAGAGTGAGCTGCGAGATCTGCTGTCAGAGTTCAACCTCTTGAAACAGGTCAACCACCCTCATGTCATCAAACTGTATGGAGCATGCAGTCAGGATGGTAAGTGTCAGCAGCTAGTTAGTAAGAGAGAAACAAAGAATGGATCTAGCTTGGGGTTGAAGCACTATTTAAAATGCAAAATACCTTTTTAAATTTGCTATTGATTAAAAATGGTGGTGTTAAGAATGAGTGAGAGAAGTGGCAATCCTAATTTCAGCAAAACTAGCCGCAGATCTTATGGATACCACCTATATAGTCAGAGACAAACATGTTTTGATTCTAAAGCTATTTTAAAATATTTCCTGGCCAGTTTCTTTTTCTGCCTCTATTTTTTGACACTAACTTGGTTCTCAGGGAGCCTCTTCTAATTTGGCTCAACTGGATTTTCAATATGATCATTATTTGGTATTCTAGTAGCACCTAAAGGCCCAAGTCAGGGATTGGGGCACCATTTTGCCAGGTTCTGAGTGAACAAGTAGTTAAGGGACAACCCACTACTTAACCCCTGACTAGGTTGCTAGTTAGTTTCACTTTCAGTTTTTCTTCCTCAGAGTTTTTCTGCACTAGCATGATTCTGTTGTGTGGTGCTTACGTGAATGCTTACATTTGTCAAAAACTAGTTTCACTGATGTGTATACTGTACTTCGCTGCAAATACATGGGGGAAATAATTTTCAAAAAGATGTATTATAAACAGCCAAAGGGGCAAACTTTCAGTGCAGTTCATGGGGATTTATCTAAACAATTCCCATTAATGTTAAATGGAGTTGCATGGCAACATCTTCTGCCATAAAATATCTGTTGTAAGTTGATCTTTCAGTTGTTATGGAGTGTGAGTGATTTACATGGCCACAAATTCTTAAGGCTCAGTCCTGCATTTTCAGAATGCCTGATGATGTAACAGTGCATTCCGGGGGCACGTAGAATTCAGGATTGTGCATCTGGGAGACTCAGTAAGAGTCAAAAAAAAAAAAAAAATCAGGGTGTTTTTTATGAACCTTGTGGAGGGGATAAAATCATTGTGCTGTGAACTGTTTGTGAGTCGAACACTTCTCATAAATATGAAGGTAATTCATTAATGCATTGGGGTGGGGGAGGCTTTGATACAGCTGACAAATGTACTCAACATTGTAGCGCTGAGTGGATATTATTCATGTGGGTGGTGGGGAGGAGAAGCTTGCTAATGGATTGAAATGTCAGGATTTTTGTTGAGAACCTATACTTGAGTGCTTTGAAAGGGCACGTTAATTAGTGTGCTGGAAGGAGAAGATGGTTTCTGAGCTAAATATCACACGCTCCAGAAAGTAATTTTGATTTTTTTTTTAAATCAAGTTTCTTAAGTAACTCCTTATACAGGCTTGATTTTCAGCTAGGTTTAAAAGAAAATTAAAAGGTGAAAGCTAAGGAGCTCTATTCATCAGTGTGAATCTGGAGTCATTCTACTGACTTCAGTGGATTTATTCTGAATTTAAACTCAGATGACTGAGAGGAACAGATTTTGACCCAACATCTTTGTGCAGCTACTTACTGCATGAATGAATTGTATTCTATGTGCTTTCTTGAATCCTCCTGACCTTATTAAGGTATTATCTTCTTGCAGTCAATGAGACTATTCGCCTGTGTCAGGCAAGCAAGATCTGGCCTAATATTTGCTATAACATTGTGTGTATATGCACATGTGAGTGATTCCATCAATAGAACCAAAAAGAGCATTAAATACGCATGTCACTAACCATACACATGAATTCACAGCTAATGATAAAACATACCATATGCACTCCAAAACCTACACAAAAAGAGGCACATCATGGGTGAAATCATGGAGAATTTGAGTTTTGCCATTGACTTCAGTGGGATCAGGATTTCACCTCATGTATTTAAGATGTCATGTGTCATGCACTGGATTATTTTTTTTTACATGAACCAATCTATAGTTTAATAATTGTTGCCAGCACACCAAAATTTAGTGTGTGGCTATACCGAATAAAAATTAGTTCGATCTAATTTTATATAGATATCACACACATTTTTCGTTCAATTAAACCTTTTTTCCTTGTAAACATGCTCCCCATATCCAAGCAAAGACACTGTTTAAAACTCTGTGCCATGATGCCTACAAAACAACCTGACAACAGATAGGCAGCTGGCGGGCTGAGACCACTGCCTGCCATGCTGACCAGTACCTTCTCATTGTTTCCCTAAAAACAGGCACTGCCTGGGTATGTAGAGAGCCGTACAGGGTACACACCCTAAGGTTCTGATGTGAAAACACAAGGCTAGCATAGAAACTGATTCACAACTTTAGCTTTGGTAGGTGTTGTTAGATGCCCTCTATAGCTCTGAGCAGTTATGCACATGAGTACCTGGGCTTGTAGCATGAGAGAATTCCCATAGGACATCCACTCAAGTGCATATTTGCAAGATTCTGAATCTGAATCCTTCCCATGCCATCAGACATTGCTAGGGCACGAAGAAAATTCTGCCATCCTTGTCTATGAGGCTGTTTGCCAGAATGGCTACTTATTGTTTTTTTTATAATTTAACTTTTTTACAAGGATAGGTTGTTAGCCTCTCTCTCAAATGCCAACCTAGGGGACCAGTAGACTGCTTTTCATGTGGTCCCTATCTGGCTTTGATGGCCCTATTGGGAGCTAAAACCCCCACCAGCATAGCTCTTAGGGTTATTTGAATGCACAAGCAATTCTACCACATCAAGTTGCAGTGCCGAGGGAAGGATGTTTCCAGGATTGGAGCCTGTAATTGTTACAGACCAGTCTGTGATGTTAACTAGAAAAATCTTTAGAAAAGTAGAGCAGAACAACCTGACTGATTTGTATTTTTCTTTCTTTTCCTCAGGGCCTCTGTATTTAATTGTGGAATATGCGAAGTATGGTTCCTTGCGCAGTTTTCTCAGGGAAAGTCGGAAAGTAGGACCTAGCTATGTGGGCAGTGATGCCAACAGAAATTCAAGCTACTTGGACAACCCAGATGAGAGAGCCTTAACAATGGGAGATCTGATCTCATTTGCATGGCAGATATCTCGGGGGATGCAGTACCTGGCAGAAATGAAGGTATAGTGCTACAGCAGTGTGTTGAACATATCTCTGTGACAGGCATAAATATATCTGGAAGTTTTTCCATGCATCTTATCCCATAAGAATAATAACCATGATTGTTGGTTTCTTTTAAAAGCTTGTTCATCGTGATTTAGCAGCCAGAAATGTATTGGTGGCAGAAGGACGCAAAATGAAGATTTCTGATTTTGGCTTGTCCCGAGATGTTTATGAAGAAGATTCCTATGTCAAGAGAAGCAAGGTACAGTGCATGTTAAAACCAGGGCTGGAATCCTTGCTTAATCAAGGAAATGGGTTTACACTGAAACACTTGAACACAGAAAATAAAGAGAACAGCTAATTCTGATAAGGAAATAGGGAACAAAAAGTAAAGATTAAACAAAACAATTAGCTTCATCATTTGGGCCATTATAAGTAACTAGACTACACTATTTACTGGTATATCATCAGCAAAAAATATTAATTCCTGTCCGCTCTTTCTTCTGCCTGTGTGCAATAATCTTTGTCAGGGCCGGCTCCAGGGTTTTGGCCGCCCCAAGCAGCCAAACAAAAAAACAAACAAACAAACAAACAAAAAAAGCCGCAATCGTGATCTGCGGCGGCACTCCGAGCAGGAGTGAGGGACCGTCCGCTGAATTGCCGCCGAACAGCTGTACGTGCCGCCCCTCTCCGAAGTGGCCGCCCCAAGCACCTGCTTGGTAAGCTGGTGCCTGGAGCCGGCCCTGATCTTTGTATTTTACTGTAATGCCCCATCAACACCACATCTACAACCCAGTCACAGGACATGGTGACAATATAGATACAGTAGGACCACCTGTGTCCTTGTAAGTGGGTTAAAACCCTGGACTATTTTTGGAAAGCATGTATCCATGCATCTTGTAATCACGATTTCTCCGGTCTTTGTGTTGTGTTGTAGCTGTAGTCTGAACAGGGGCCTTAAAAATAATGTGTGATCTATCAATAATAAAGACAAATATATTCAAATATAATCCTATTTTCTTTCAAGTATTTTTCAGGTAGTAATTTTTTTTATAGCTGTTAGTTTGTAAGTTACTTAGGGTACAAAATCTAGGGCCTCATCTTGCTACTTTATACAAAAAAGCTATTAGTCTCTCTCTCCCTCTCTTTTTATAATTGCCAAGCTCACAAAACAAGGGATTGAAGAAAAAGTAGGCAGAAAGAGCTGGCAATCATTTAAATCAGAACTAGTTCTGGCTGAAAACTTCATAATTGGAATCTAAATCCAGATCCTAGTTTCAAGAATGCTTCTTCTATAGCTATGATGATCTGAACCAAAACCCAGCTCCAAACAGCTCTGAAATATACAAGGTTCAAAATCCAGATCCAAATGCCAGAGCTTGGGCCCATCTCTGCTATAGATGGTAGAGATACCCATCTGCCAGTTTGGAATGCCTCGCATTCTTTAAAGCAATTATATTTTTCCTGTCACAGTAAATTATTATCAGCTGTCTAGAAATAGTTCTGTCTGCTCACAGTGCTCATGGCAGAACTCAGCATATGGTAACATTTCATCTGTAGGATTGTGCAAAGGAAATTTGATGGAAAGCCTCTCCTGTGGTATTAGGAGAGCTCCTCTCATTGTTTAGTCATATCACGGCTTTCCCTAAAAAGAACTATTATGATAACCTCAAGATTATGAAACAAGTTCAGACTTGTCGTTATTTATTATCATAGCAGATATTGCCATAACACACTGAGCCGAATTCTGCCATAAGCCTGTATGCATGCAACTTTTATTGAAATCAGTGGGCCTTCTGCATGTAAATGAGGCCAGTATCCAAGCTCAGTTTGTGAAATTCAGTAATACTATTTTATGTTGACCATTCAATCTTCTGTGATACTGCTCCAGTTCCCTGTGTGGGTTAGTGTGAAAGTGCTGCCAGCATGAATTCTCACACATGAGAATTTCAAACATTGGCTTCCATAAATACTGTGACTTTTTGACGTTTGTTTTCCACTACAATTCCAGCCAATAATGCTCAATTGCATGATGTTTGCAGGAGGCAATACAAAAGTGACCATGGACAAAGACAATTAAAAATATAACTAGATAGTATATTAGGAAAGACAGTGCAATATCCACTCTGTTCTATTATGTATGCTTTACCCTGAAGGAATGCTATCTATTTGTACCTATTTCTCTGCAAAAATTATTTGAGAACAATTTATTCTAATACATAGATTTTTCCCCATAAAGTTAACAGATACTGATATAGCCCTCCTCACCATAGTATCTCCGAGTGCATATTCAATTTTCCAACACAAACAATTATTTGCTGTCAAAAATAACTTGGGTAGAGAGAGAGCAGGAAGAAAGAATGGGAGAAAGAATGGAATATCTTTCAAATATATCTAGAAAAATTTTCCAAATACATGTGCATTGCCTGAAAATTTTACGAAAATACAAATCCAGAATGCTTTTGTGGATGTTATGAAGCATCCTGGAAATCACGTTGGCATTTTGCACAGCCACAATCTTTGCGAATAGCTGGTGTAGATCTGAGATTTTACCATGTGAATTTCAGACCAAAAAGCAGCAGTTTGCACAGCTTGTTAAGCAGCCATTGAACAAGTATAACTGCCCGAGTGAAGCTTGAGTTCAGAAGCCAAAGCTGTCCTAAAACCTGAGGTTTTTCAGTTGCGATTCATCTTTCATTTGGGTTGGATCTTACTCCTATAGCCTCATTCTCCATCTCCTTTTGCACCTGCACAACTCCCACTAGGCTCTGGAAGTGTATCTAATGGGTGGCAAGCAATTCATGTTGACAAGTATAGGTTTAGTGTGATAGGAGGGTTCAGTGGTCTGAGCTGACCATGTAATATGTCTGAAAATCACTGTTCATTGAATGCATGTCCTTTCAAAACTGGGTTTTGGTTGGGTTAGAATGAATGGTAAAGTTCAGTGGTGATTAAAGAGAGGTTATAGCTGTGCCCCCCTAACCTGTACTGCTCCCTGTTTATTTGATGAAATGTCACTTCAGTCATTCTATTGAAGCATATCAGAGAGGCACAGTGCAGTATAAATCTTACTGTTGTGAAAGCAAATGCACCAACATTAATTTTAACCTTCTAACTTAGTAATTGTGTTGCTGTTTTTTCTCTTAGGGTCGAATACCTGTTAAATGGATGGCAATAGAATCCCTATTTGATCATATCTATACAACACAAAGTGATGTGTAAGTCTAAATTGTGGTGTGTCTTATGCAGTTTATGTGTCTGTTGTATAGAGTTTCACAAAGAACTACGGTAACATATTTAATAGCCACAGCTTCTAAGTTGGAAGATAACAAAAATCAGAGAGCCCAGATGACTCAGTCTCTCAGTAATGGTGGGATAAATATGGAACTTTAAAATTGTAGGTGACCCATTAAATTAAAACCTAAATCATGAGTGACTGTAGGAGGTTGCAATCTGATTGCCCTTCGTTGGCCTGTGTAGAATAAGATTTGATGGTCTCAGCCCCGTTTTTAGTGTGCACACCACAGAACCCACTCTTGTTGGCAGACCCAGCAAAAAGACTAATGATTTAGAGCCTGAGTCACCTCCCATTGAAGCCAATGACAAAACTCCAAATGACTTCAGTGGGAACAGGATCAGACTCTTAATGAACAACCAAGTTGCAGCCACATGATGCAAGTACCTGTGCCTGTTGTTAGAGAGTGATTGCATGGGCAGATTTGTTTTCCACTTCCTTTCTCACATTACTACTTCCTTCCTCACCCAGGCTGGTAGAGCAGCAGGAGAGGAGCGAATGGCAGGCGAGGGGATCCTTGGGGGAATAGGCAAGCAAGGGCAAGGCCTCAGGGTAGAGCATGGGTGGGGCCTCAGGGGAAGAGGCTGGGTGAAGGCAGGGCCTCAGGGCAGAGCGTGGGTGGGGCCCCGGTCTGAGCCTTGGTGGGCCTCCCCCTTCTAGGGAGCTTCACTTCCAGTGCTCGAAAGGCTGCGGGCCAGTGCGCCTCCAAGGGAGGTGACCGGCATCACATCTGCAGCATTTCCCCCCCCCCCTGCATTGCCAGCCTTATTTGGGGAGGTTTAGTGTCCTGCAGCCTCTTATACACACACCCCATGCTCCAGGCTATTACTCCAACAGTGTAACACTGAAGAATTAAAGGGTTACTTTATTTGAAAATTGATTTTTAAAAATTTACATTTGTTAACAAATATAATCTACAAATATTCAGTGCTGTTTGGGGTGATGCAATTATGGTTTTAGTGACCATCTATTAATATACTTAAAATCCATTCCCGAATGCTGGATTTTCCTCATAAATTCTCTCTCTCTTTTTTTCCAGCTGCTTCCTTTTAAGACCCTTGTATATAGTCAGTAGTTGGCAGTGATCTAGCAGTAGTATAAGTTGCCAGCTTCTATAATTCCTTTTTTCCAACCCTGCTGCGAAAACCTTTGCTTTTTATGCTGGAACCTAGACACACATTGTACCAGTGCCCACAGTCTTCCTGTCCCCATCTCTCTGATGACATTTTTATTCATCCACAAAGACTGTACAATGGAAAATATTTTCTCCCTCCCCACACACTTAGTTACTGGTAATTTTTATAATTACAAAACTAAGGTACAATATCCTAACATACAAATCTGACAAACAGCTGGAGCTAATTGAGAAATTACCAACATGCTACACCCTCTTACAGAGCCTCCAAAAAATTCACTTAAACAAAGAATCTTAAACATAAAAACCCACAATGCCACACACTCTTCTGGATTACTTACAGGTCAAATTATAACCTGATAGGGTGCACAGAATAATTGGCTCAATAAAGGGCATGAGGAAGAATAGAAAGACTTAATCAAGTGCAATGGAACGTTCTAAATATGCATGAGCTTTGAGGAAGATATAGACTGGTTAAAAATGAACTTACACAATATCAGCAGGAAAAAGCTGTTTGAAAGTTTCATGTAAGGCTGTGTGAAACTAGCAGTTCTTCTTTTTTTTTTTTTTTTTTTTTTTTCTGCGCCTAGCCATCTTGGAGCTTAATATGTCCTGGCCTGGGAATGCCATTTCTCTTGTTTAAAATAAAAGAACTACAAGGAGACAAGTGAAACCTAGTCAGGAGGAGAGCAGTTTCTGTTGCTAAAATTTTGAGGTGGGATTTTCAAGGGAGCCTCAGGGAATTAGGCACATGACTTTCATTGACTTTCAGTGGACTTTAGGGGCCTAACTCCTCTAGGTCTCTTTTTAAAGGTGGAGCTCTCGCATAAAAGTCAGATGGCAAAAGTGAATGTTTATTGCACTTTGTACATAACTTTGTTCTCAGAGGCATCCCATCAACCCAAGTGAAAAAATACACTGTTGCCTGCTTTCCTTCACTCCGCATTGTGAAAACTGAAATCTTGGGGGGGTTTGAAATGAGGGTCTGGATTAGATTTTGGGTTGCTCAAGCCTCTGAAAGAGGGGTTCCACTCAGGAAAGGAACCTTTTTTTTGGGGGGGGGGAACACATACCCTTATTTCCAACCCTTTGAGTCAAGGCCTTTCTACTAGAGCTGGTCAGAAAGTGGATAGAAAAATTGACTCAATTTTCTTCCCTTTAAAAAAAAAAAATCAAAATGTCACCATTTTTTTTGGTGCATTTCAAATTTCCAAATAGAATTGACCAGTGCTGCTTTCTGTATTAGGCCAAGAACAAAATTAAGGCCCTGATTCATTAAACGAGCACAAGTAAGCCTATTAAAATAAAGGGGGTCATTTAGGTAAAATTAGACACGTGCATGCAAAGAAGGATGGATTTGTGGTTGACGCCTTGGTCTGTCTTGTCTATTTAGAATGTAATAGATGGGGGCAGGGATTCATACAACACCTAGCATAATGGAAACTTGATCTTGGAACCTTTAAGTGCTACTGTACTATTTGCTGGATAGGGGCCATGTTAAGCTCTTCAATCCTAGCAATTCAAATGAATGGTTCCTTCCTTCCTTCCTTTTTCAGCTGGTCATTTGGAGTTCTGCTATGGGAGATTGTAACCCTGGGAGGTAACCCTTATCCTGGAATTGCTCCTGAAAGACTCTTTAACCTCCTGAAAACTGGCTATAGAATGGAGAGACCTGAAAACTGCAGTGAAGAAATGTAAGTAGTTCTTGCTTTGTTTGGATTAATAGAAATGTCCTTGAACAAAGGGAGGAAACAGTGTAAATAACAGCCATCTCCAGCATGACTTTTAGAGAAGTCTGAGAACAAACTAGTAAAAGTAAAGAACTCTGTCATCATAAAGTGGCAGAAAGGTGGGGTGACAATCTGTGTTAAATGTGCACTAAAAGAAATGCAGTCCCCAAGCACCCGCAGCTATTGCCAAAGTACTTGCTGAAAATTGGATAAAGTACTCCTCAGGCTAATGAAAAAGTGTAGGTTGAATATTTGGAACATGGAGGGGGGTGGGGAGAAGAAATGCATCTAACATAGTGATGATTGATCTCTTCAAGATGTGTTGAAGCACATCCAAATACTAGGAACCCACTTTCCTGCAAATAAGGCAGTTATTTTAATATCTGTGCTCCATGTACTCCCTGCAAATGGTTTGTCAGTTGTCTGACTTTCCTGGTAGTGCACAGAACCCTGAAGAGAAGATACCTTGACCCAGAAATCAATACCTGTATAACACAAACATTTTGTGACTTAGTGAGTCATTTCAGTTTATCTGTGACTGTAAGACAGTTCATGTGTTATTAACTGACTTATTTACAAAAGGCAATTAACCAGGATAATCTCAATGAGAGAGAGAAATATCTCATCTTCCTGGATATTCTATGGTGTCCGAAAATGAAACAGAGCTTTAAAAATGTTTATCAGCCTCTATTAAGCCATATTCACATATTCAAATAAGACTGCATTGTCTCATTTGAATTTTGGAGAACAAGAACAAGATCCCTTCAGGTGTCTTTGAATGACCTTGCCCACATGTGTGGTGAAAAAAAGCAGCATAAATAGTACAGCCATATTTTTCTGTGCACCACATACATAGAGATACCACTGAGACACTGTTGAACTTAGATTCATAGATCTCAAGTCCAGACTTGCCCCCAGCAAAATTAAATATTTTAAATTTTCACCCGTCTTCCCTTCCTCAAGCATTCACTTCAAATGTCCCCTTCCCCACCCCCAATTATGTTCCATTGTTTATACTTTTTTGAGTTACTCATGTTGTGTAAATTTGCAGGGGTTGGGGGGGCGGGGTTTGATGGCGTTGTTGTTGTTGTCTCTCTCAGATGGACAACCTGGATAGATGTTTATTTTAGGACATTAAAGACTGCATTAAGATGAACTACTTAACACCCATTTTTCTATGCATGCTCCAAATTATCCAGTCTAGCAATGAGGTGGTAATGCATAACTTTACCCCTTTTTTTTATAGGTATGCAAACTTTTCTGAAGCAGTTCACTCCATCTTTAATATAATAAATCCAAAAAAATGAGATTAGAAGAATCTTATTTAGGTTGTAAAGTCAAGTACTAAAAAGTTAGGAAATGCCAGATTTATGGTTGCCTGTGCAAACTTAATTCAGACAGCCTATGCACATGTGTTTTTGAGACAGTCTTTAATGACATGATCACATAGTATCATAATGCCTATGCCCAAGGGGGAGGGTGTGAATTAAGGTTGTACAGCCAATCATAAAGCTGGCATTTTTTAACTTTCAAGTGCTTGAATTTGCAACCTAAACAGAATTCTTATAACGTAGGGTTCTTTAAATATAATTTCAAAATGTTTTTTTGTTTATTTGTGTTTGTTTTTAAGGAAAATGGTAAAGCCACTTTCTTTTATGAACAGCTGAGCACCAGAGGCGTTTGAATCCTGAACCTTCAGCACTGCAGCAGAAGTCATTTAAGCTATAGATCTAACTACATTATCTGGGTGGGCTGCTGAGTCCAGAAAGAGTGGCATGGGAGAACTCAGCCTGGCCCAATTCTTTCTTTCTCTTCCCTTCTGGGAGTTGGGGGAGCTCCTGCCCTATTTGTTGTCCCCAGAGGGAAGAATGGGCCACTAGGTCCAGGTGCTGGATCCAGAGGAGGGAAGCCCAGTCTAGGTTTTTCTCCTCCCTGCCACTATGGCTGCTCCCAGCTATTCCCAGAACAATGTGGTGGTGCTGCTGATTTGGTGGCAGTGGAGCCTGCCCTTAGAATATTCATGTGTTCAGTTATTATTTTAGCAGGCTGCCAACACTTTCCTGAGGAAGGAGAGCAGGAGAAGGGAAATTATTTTGAAAGCTTATATCTCAGCAAAAGCTGAATGGAATTTCATACCATAAAGGAAAAGCACTTCTGTAGCCAGAGGACTTTTCCCCTGCCAAATACCAAAGGCCCGAGGCAAACAATGGAGATGTGAAAGTTTCTCAAAGGAAAGGTTGCAAGAATCTTGCAGGTGGGAAGCATTAGGCAGCCTAAAGATTGGTGTCACTATCAACTCCCCCTGTACCGGTTGTTTGGTTCTTCTTCTAGGTGACTGTCTGGGAAAGCAAAAGTCATAGGAGTTGGAGAAGTGTAAGGGGTCAGCTGGGAGGTCTGATTACCAGCGTATGTAGACACTCACCATACCTCAGCTCAAACTAGTATGCTAAAAATAGCAGTGTGGAGGTTGCAGCACTGGGGTCAGGCAGGCTTGGGGTTGAGGGGCTAGCCCACGCCATCACCAGTGCCACAGCGTTCACACTGCCTTTTTTAGAACAAGAGTTCAAGCTGAGCGAGGGCGAGAGTCTACCCACGCTGGGAATCCCACCTCCCAGTAGCAGTGTAGACTTACTCTTGGACACCAATCTTGCAAAGAGATCCACATGCCTGGGGCTTTAATTACATGCAGCATCTCCTGGGAGTAAAGGTACACTCATGTGACTCTCAGTGCAGTATTAGGGCCTCGTCCCATGGAGAAATTGTTTAGCTACATAAATAAGAAAAAAGGAAAGATTGAGATATTTCTTTGAGTGGCATTCACAACAGTGGCCAGATCACTGTACTGTAGATTTATTTGAGCAGAAAGGAAAACCAAACCATTTGTGAATGCAGGATCTTATTATGTGTTACTTTGGTTCATAGGTATAACTTGATGCTGCGATGCTGGAAACAGGAACCAGATAAGAGGCCAACATTTGCTGACATCAGCAAAGAACTGGAGAAAATGATGGTGAAGAGTAGGGTAAGTCTGCTGCAAGCTGAGTTTTGCACAGTTAATGAAAACTAGTAGGGAATGTTTACAATCCAAAGACATTGGTTGTAGCACAGAGAAATAAGTTTCTGATAAAAGTTCTTATTTTGATCAGGATTAAAGGCATCCAAGAACCTTATTTCCTCCAGATGGCAGAAAGCTTTCCAAAAGCAGTTCCATCGTTTTTTTGTATGGTGATTTTGAAGATTTCAGACCTAGAAATGTTGTGTGGTTGATTATTTTACCACTTAGTTTCCTTAGTAACAAATTTATTATTGCAGAGTTAATTTTAATTTGCATTACTCAATAATCAAGCAGTAGAAAGCCTCAAATTAAATGACTAAAATATTGCAAAGCAAGTATTGTGTCATTTTTGACGTGGGATGTCTTAAAGATGTGATAACAGCAACAAAATATTAAAGCCATTTGGTTCCAAATCTGTCTACTTTCAAATGCATAATCTGATAAGGGATTTTCTTGGGAATTCAAAGGACCTCATTGTCCCTGTGGAGCCTTTACACATCCTCATCTAGGACTTGGTCTTGCACACTGCTGAGCACTGTCGTCCTGATCCAGGAGAACACCTATGCATGAGCTTAATTTAAAGCCCATGAGTATCTCCATCAGTACATTGCAGGATTGAGTCCCTAGTACACACTGCAAACATACATCCACCTAAATGGATATTTTCCAATATTAATACTTGTATGTGCACTTATTTGATACGGCTTAGGCATGGCAATTCTATCAGTGCAAATGGAAGTTTTTCATGGAAAAATCCAGTTGTCTGTGTGTGCTGGAAAAGGGCATGTGCAGTTGAATGAGCACATACAAGTGTACATGTACAAACAGAAGTGGAGGCTGATGACTAAAAATAAGTGTGTGTATGCGCTTACCGGTATATATTTATAAAATCCCTGTTTTACAAAAACATTAGAAATCTTCAACAATAGTTACTCTCTAGGTAAGACCTACAATATTGTTCCTCTGTTACAAATCCAGCAGAGGGATAACAAATGAACTAACCCATTCTGGGCTTGGGCATGTGTTGCTGGGCACAGATTAAGAAGTGAACAGAAGGGAGCCATTATCCTCTATAGGAAAATTTAAAAAGCAAAGTTAAATCAATGGTGGTGAAATGCAAAGTAAGAGCAAAGTTTTTTGTTTTGAGGTTCCAAAAGGCTATTACAAGAGCAATGTATTGAACTAAAAGTAAATTTCCAACCCAAAAAGTTGTGTCTGCTTTGTATGACAGACAGAATATCTGGGATAATCCAGTGACTGGACAGTAACACTGAACTGGGCAATGTTGTCTGAAATGGTTATCCTAGTTAAAAACAAAACAACTAGCATCCTGAACAGAACTATGGGCCAAATGCTGCAAAATGGTGAGAGCACCTTCCAGGCATTGTTAAGCACCCTGTCCTCCCATTGAATCTTAGGCTTAGAAGAAAGCTGAAATTAAAGCCTATATATTTTTGAGTTAACTCGTTGGCAAGCAGCGTTCAACAGGAGAAGCACTAACTGAGCATGTTTCTGTCGAAGCATGTCTAGTGTTTCTGCAAACAAGTGCATTGCCGAGGACACTACTCTTGCAGAAAACAGGAGATTAAGCAGTTGGTATTCTCTATAGAAGGGCCCACTTTGATTTTGCAGTTGCCCAGTCTAGGGAACCCAGAAATGTGTTAGCAACTATAACTGAGGAATGACTTTGTTGCTTATTGTAACCTAGCATTTTATTTATTTGGTAGGACTACTTAGATCTTGCAGCTTCCACACCCTCTGACTCCTTACTTTATGATGACGGGCTCTCAGAAGAGGAGACACCACTCGTGGACTGTAATAATGCTCCCCTCCCTCGAACCCTCCCCTCCACATGGATTGAAAACAAACTCTATGGTAGAATTTCACATGCATTTACTAGATTCTAGCAACACACACAAAAAGTGTTTTTTTTTTCTTCTGCACTATCTTCAGACTCTGTAACCCCATTAGAGTGTTTCTTGTGTGAATGAAACCAATCAAAATTTGCTTGGAAAGCTTTTTTTATTTGTAAATGTCAAACTTTGCATCAGGATCATACTTTAGGCGTCTTGCAGCTGTGTTTAAAAAAAGATTTAAAAAGGATGTGAAAATAAGTAAAATCACCATATATATCTATATCTATATATCATATGATAAAGAGAAATAAATAGATCAGGGAAGTACTCTCAGGGGAAATTTTAAAAGGCTAAGAACTGAATATCCAATTAAAATAGTCTTTTGTGTTGGGGGGTGGAGTTGGGAAATATATTAGATTCTATATCTCTAATTTAAGTAACAGGGATTTAAAAAAAACATTTGCTAAACATTTTTGGGGGGCTCAGTTGAATAGTGAGGCCCAATTTGTTACAGTTTTATGTTTATCCACACAGATTCCTGAATCTCAGCTGCTGCTCACACGTTTTAAGTCCTTGTGCAGAAATTTCTGCTTAACATGACATGGGTTGGGATCAGGTTACAATTTACAGATGACAGGGGAGACTGAGTGTAGCTACACAGTCTTTTGGAAATTGATTTGGTGATGGCCACTATAAAAATACTTTCGACTGTTTTCACATCCTTTGGTTTATCATGCAAATGTCAGCACTAAGCCCTGATTGAATGATGTAGCAAGTGTTTTGAAAGGGAACATGTGCTTTCATATTGTGGTGGTGAGATGGACAGTAAAAATGGTTCTTGCCAAAACTCCTATATTTTGTTTTCTGATTAAATATTCTACATGTTTTTGGCTGTTTACTAACTTCAAAGATCATATTTTTTTCATTCTTCAAGCAGCAAAACTTTTTTAAAAGCTGAAGCTTTTCCATTACTCTGTGTATTTGTAATTAGAAAATATCTTTGAGTCTTTTTTTCCCCTCTGCTCCCCAGACATGATTTTTACAACTAGGTGCCCAAGGTTAGGTTCCTAAATACATATTTGGAATTTTAAATAAGTAGTCAGATTTTCAAAAGGGCTTAAGCATCAACAGTTCCCACTGAAGTTCCCATTGCTGAATGCTTTTGAAAATCTCAGCACTTATTTAGGTGCCAAAATAGGCAACAAAATTAGGCTTCTATTTTTGAAAATGCTGGCCTTGGTATATTTTTGCATATAGTGCTGGATCTGCAAGATGCTGAGCACTCTGGGCCCAGTCCAGCAAAATACGTAAGCATGACCTTAAATTTACATTTATGAGTAGCACACTGATGTCAATAGGACTACTTATATGCTTAACTTTAAACCTGTATTTAAATATATAGCTGGATCAGAGTCAGAGTGCTCAGAACCTTGCAGCCCACTGTACTACTGGGAGATCATGATGGTGATATGAGTCTCATCCTAAACCTATTGAAGCCAATGGAAAGACACCCATTGATGTCAATGGAAATACTTTCATTGACTAGAATGGACATTGGGTCCTGCCTTAAATGGGCTTATTACTGCTTGGAGCATTGTATGTACAACAAGAACTTCCAGTTGCAATAAATTCTCTAGCAAAGTAATTTGTAATTACATTGTCATGAAACTATAAAATTGTGAAAAGTTGGAGGCTACCTGAAGAAAAATTAACAACTTTTATTGGATTATATGATATACACACTTTTTTTTTTTTAATCAAGACAGCACTTTATTTGTTCAGGGTGTTTGCCTTCAGCAGAATTTGTGCTTTGGGGCTTTGAAACACAGTTTATATCAATTGATTGGGGACAAAAAACAATGGTCTGGTTTAAAGTATTGAACGGAGTTTTGCCAAGGGCCTTACTGTCTGCACATGAAGTTATGGTTCTTCAGTGCAGAAAAAATTATCTGTTTTCATTTTTAGGCATGTCATACCCGAACTGGCCTGAGGAGAGCCCCGTTCCACTCACAAGATTCGATGGCACTAACTCTGTGTTTTCAAGATATGCAAATGATAGTGTATATGCTAACTGGATGGTTTCACCCTCAGCGGCAAAATTTATGGACAAGTTTGATAGTTAAAAATTTCTTTGTGAAAGGTAATGGACCCATGAGGGGAGCAAACATGCAAAGAATGGAAAGTCCATTGGCTTATTCTTTGTACAATTAAAACAGGTTAAACTAACATTAATTTCTCAAATGGCAAACTCTTTTTTGGTAGTTTCTCAAGTGGTTTTACGCATGATCAAGACTATAATTGATTATTTCCCCTTTCAGGAAACATATCAAACTGGATAAAAGTTGTAGTTCCAGTACTTATTTTTTAGTCCACCATTCTGCACATAGTCCAATTTGGTAACTGTTTATTGCAAATGGCTGTGCACTTCATGCTTACAATTTTTTAGGTCAGCTGTCCTACATTACAGCTTTCTTGGGTGGGAAAATGTTGTTGTACTTGAACTGCTACTTTTCTGGTTATTAACAAAAGGCCACTTGATCTAAGCATGAAGCACAAACTGTATATGTAGGGGGGAAAAAACATTTGGCTCAAAATAACTGAGCTTACTATAGAATCCAAAGTGTTACCATGAGTTGGCACTAATGAAGCCTGTATTTTGGTTTCGAAGCAAACATTAAGTAACTCAGTAGGGAACTTGAGATTCAACATTTGAAGTCTTGAAAAGCTGTAAAAATGTCTTGTCTTGTCTTAATGAGAAAAGAGTTTGTTTTATTATGTTTAAACTATTCTTACCTTTAGCACAATGGAGATAAATTTGATACCAGATATGCTATATAGACTGATGTCAATCAAGAGTGCTCACCTGACACAACTTATTTTCCATCACATCCATTTTACTAATGTTACAATGTCTGTTGTACAATCATAATTCTGTTTGAGTTCAGTGTAGACTGTACAGGATATTTTGAACTAAATTAAAGCAAAGAGATTTTGTTTGCAGTCATGTTCAATGAGTTGGAGTCTTCCTCTAAGCTCAAAATCTGATTCTACAGTCCAATACACTGCTAACATAGGCTATCACACTGACACCATTCCAAATAAATCTTCTGTCTTGCAAGTCACAAGTAGACAACCCTTTTACTTAGCATAACTTATCTGATGCTTTTATCATTAGTTAGTTAATTATTCCCTATGGGGGGGGGGGGGAAATCACCTGATTTTGTTAAGGGTAAATTTAATTCAAATGATGTGCAACTATATTGACGTGGTATTTAGGAGAATGATCTGACTCTTATAGAGCTTATATGGAAGGGGATAAATAGGGTGGCAGTACTTTTCTGTCTTTTACTTGTAATTTAATATTGTTGAAGAGAATATATTTTGTGTTCTAAAAATGTTGGACCATAAACCCAGAGTGACATGTTGTTACCTGTGTGATGGCTATTCTTAAATAATCCAATTCTACCAAAGCTTGTTCCTGTCTCTTAAATTCCAGTTTAGCTGTCTTCATGTGTTTGTTTTGTGTGTCAGCACAATGTGTTTCCATTAAAGTCTGTGATTTCAGAAGTAAATGAGTCAGATTGCCAAAAACTTAACACAGGTCTTCATACAAACAACAGAAGTACAGATGTAAAGCGCTGTGTTAGTATTTAAACACTGTTTTATAAAGGAATATTGTATTTTATTATAACTTGTTTTCAGACGAGCAGTAGCAGTGTGAATTTTTCTTTGTGTAAGCTAACTACTACACTAAGTACTCTGAGCACAGCATAAAGATACAGACGTGCATAGGAAGAGAAGATGTAATGAGTTTAGTTGTGATACAACAGTGGCCTCTCAAATGATTCTGGAGGTGTGGCACAGCCCTGAATTCACTGTAACAATGCACATCAAATAAATATAAAATAAATGCAATGGAAAATTAAACCCCCATTAAATGGGCTTTTTCTTCACTGGCACTGAGAGAGAAACAAGGTACAAATGCCGTAACAACATAAGGGAGGTCTTCAATCAGTGACAGCTGCTGTGGTAGCTTTCAGTCTTACTCATTAAGTCTGGCCATACACTGTTTTCCCACTATTTCAGTTCATCAGTGAGAAATTTGAATTCTTCATTTGTCACGAGCAATCCGGAAGCATCAGGGAGATTTTTCATCAGCGGCAGCATGTGACAGAAATTCCTAAACTAGAACAAAAGTCCTCCAGGCAGAGGTACTTTACTCCAGTTTCTAATGCGACAGAACCTGTGACAACAGTGTCATTCTAAGACAGGTGAGTGAGATGACAAGTGGTATTGAAATAACCAACTGATGGAGAAAGCATTGAGTATCATTGTATTTCAAACTCTGAGCATCATCCCCTGGTTAGTTCAATTTACCCCTATGAAAACTGGGGTTCCCAGTCACATTTATTATTAATTTCCTTATGCACACATCTGATATAGGTGTTGTATAGAACACAGAACAGCAAAAAGTAATTACATTTATGCCATAGATAATCACCCGCCTGCCCACTTTCTCAAGCAGAGCTGAATGAATGATTCACAATGAACAATTTATAATCCAACTAATTTAGCCTTCCTTATTGTTCCCAGAATATCTGTAAGAAGCAGATTGTGACTTCCTTACATATATTCATTATTGACAATTTTTATTTCCACACTGTAGATTCATTGTGAATGGTTCATGTGGAGCATTTGATATTTGTTCTGTATTGGTTAGTTGTGATTAAAGTCACAAGGTATTTCAATTCTCTGATTGGATGAAAACGGATACACTTCTGGAATGAATACTCACATGAAAATTCTAGTTTTAGTTCCCACCAATGTTAGGGACAGTAAAACTCAATTACTTCGTAACTTCATAGATTTTTATTTTTAAGGCCAGAAGGGGTCTTCTACAGAGGTGTGATTACATGATCTAGCAGGCCATGACATTTCCCCCAGTATTGAGCCCAATAACTTGTGTTTCCTTGCTTTCTCTCAGAAAACTTAAAAGGAGCACGAGAAGAGCCAACATGAACTCATTTAAATATTTGAGGGAATAGTGACAGAAAATTCTTCCAGCTCTACCAACATGTCAAACAAAAACTACATCACATAAACATTTTACACTTGGGGTTCTGTAGGATGTGGCCAGCTCTAGAAATGGGTGAATCCAAAGGTGTTTTTCTCTTCATAAAGACACCAGGAAACGATTTTAATGTACATTTATTTTCTATGTGCAAATGTTTTTCTTAGCTGTGATCCTTAAAATCCCTCATGTAAATGTATGGCAGCTGATACAATAGACTGCAGCCTGTCACATATTTTAAACAACTTTACAAATATGCATTCTTACCATTAAATCATGAAGGGTCCAAGATGGGCATCCTGTTTTATTCATTGTATGTGGTAAAATAATATTAAATTGGAAATATAAAGTGTAAAGTCTTTTAAAAATAGTATTCAAGTGCAATACAATAAGACTATTTTTGTACTAATTGCTTGCTTGATTTAAAAATTTTAAATCAATCACATTTGAATAATACAAGCACTAAAATATTCCAAAATAGACCATTGTTTTATATATAAAAAAAAGATTTCAAAATGACCCACCCCACATTCTAAAATCTTGTATGCAAAATTACAGCCCACACAGTTCTTAAATCTATTACAGGGTTTATAATGAAAACACTATGAAACTTCTAATTGTACAATAGCAAGGAGGCCCTGATATTATATCACCATCTTCCTTGTGGCTTAGCCAGTCACATAATACTAGCTCTGATCTGTTTAAAAAAAAAAAAAAAGTGTACTTGTCTGAAATAGTTTTCAAAATTCTACTGGAGATACATTAAATGGTTGTGAATCTATTCTGACTGATCTTAATCCACCCTAAATTGTGTTTTCCATATTGCCAGCCAAATAAGTGTGTAGGAAAGTGTGCATGTGTATGTGTGCACATGTGATATTCTCTATATAGGCCTCTCTATTATTTTATAGCTATATAGATATAAAAACAATATATCATATAAAATGTGAACATAAATACAATGGACCTGGGTATACTTAAATACAGATACTATAAACACATACACACAACTTGTGTCTTATACACAGCTTCTGCACTCTTCAAATGTTTAGTCCTGATTCTGGTCAGGCCAAACTCCTATTGAATTCAGTCGAGAGGTTGTGTCTGTGTAAGCATTGCATGATAGATCCAGTCAACAGTGCAGTATAGTAGTCACCATAAAAAGCCTTGACAATTACAGTAGTATTTGTGATATTCCACAATGCAAAGATAGGGATATTGCAAAAAAAACACTGTAAAGTTATTTTTATCTGAAAATACTGATTGTACTGTTTTAATGATCATTTTGCTAGGCTAAAATGTATCAGTAAGGTTAGAAATGATGCAAAGATTAGGTGTTAATGAAAATATAATAGATTTTATGTGTAAGGATATTTTCTATATATGAAAATGTTTATAGACCTAATTTTAAAATGTATATATTTTTTGAGAAAAGAGAATTGGTGAATTAATTAATCCCCAAGGATCTGTACTGGCACCAGTGGTGTTCAAAATATTCATAAATGATCAGGTAAAAGGGGCAAACAGGGAGGTGGCAAAGTTTGCAGATGATAAAAAATTACTCAAGATTGTTAAGTCCAAAACAAACTGTGAAGAGTTACAAAGGAAGGTCTCACAAAACAGGGTGACTGGGCAACAAAATGGCAGATGAAATTCAGTGTTGATAAATGCAAAGTAATTCACATTGGAAAACGTAATCCCAAGTAGACATACAAAACAGTGGGGTCTAAATTAGCTGTTCCCTCTCAAGAAAGAGACCTTGGAGTCATTGTGGGGAGTTCTCTGAAAGCATCTGCTCAATGTGCAGTGGTAGTCAAAAAAGCTAACAGAATGTTAGAAAGCATTAGGGAAGGGATAGATAATAAATAATCATAATGCCACTATATTAAATCCATGATACGCCCACATCTTGAATACTGTGTGCAGTTCTGGTTGCTCCATCTCAGAAAAATACATTAGAATTGGAAAAAACACAGAAGGGCAACATAAATTATTAAGGATATGGAACAGCTTCCATATGATGAGAGATTTAAAAGACTGGGACTGGTCTGCTTAGAAAAGGGGGGGTTTAATATATGGAGATATGCCTCTCTCATAGAGCTGGAAGGGACCCTGAAAGGTCATCAAGTCCAGCCCCCTGCTTTCACTAGCAGGACCAAGTACTGATTTTGCCCCAGATCCCTAAGTGGCCCCCTCAAGGATTGAACTCACAACCCTAGGTTTAGCAGGCCAATGCTCAAACCACTGAGCTATCCCTCCCCCCTGTGATTGTGGGTTGTGATTCATAAAATCATGAATGGTGTGGAGAAAGTGATTAAGGAAGTGTTATTTGCCCCTTCACATAACACATGAACCAGGGGTCACCCAATGAAATTAATAATCAGCAGGTTTAAAACAAAAATAAGGAAGTACTTCTTCACATAACACAAAGGTCTGGTCTACACTGGGGGGGGGGTGTTGATGTAAGATACGCAACTTCAGCTATGGGAATACCGTAGCTGAAGTCGACATATCTTATTCCGACTTACCTCCCATCCTCACGGCGCAGGATCGACGGCCGCAGCTCCCCTGTCGACTCCGCTTCAGCCGCTCGCTCCGGTGGAGTTCCGGAGTCGACGGGGAGCACGTTCGGGGATCGATATATTGTGTCTTAACGAGACGTGATATATCAATTCCCGATAAATCAATTACTACCCGCTGATATGGAGGGTAGTCTGGATGTACCCAAAGTCAACCTGTGGAACTTCTTGCCCGGCAATGTTGCGAAGTCCAAAAGTACAACCGGGTTAAAAAAAAAGAACTAGATTAGTTCATGGAGGACTGGTCCATCAATGACTATTAGCCAAGATGGTCAGAGATGCTACCCCATGTTCCGGGTGTCCATAAACCTCTGACTGCCAGAAGCAGGGGTTGGATCACTCGATAAATTGCCCTGTTCTGTTCATTCTCTGAAGCATCTAGCACTGGCCACTGTTGGAAGAC